TCTGGGTATGATACCATAGGCTAGTATTTTTGAGGATATTTTATTTTCATTATTTCAAAATTTGCTTGCAACACACATTCCGAGTTTGTTCTCTGAAGCAGCTGAGCTGTTCTAGCTGAACACCCCCCTCTCCCAAAATGCACTACCAAAGCTGTTGATTAAAAACAAACAGGCAAATCCCCAAATGCCTTTTAGTTTTGCAGAATTATGTACAATTGAAAACAAGGTCTTATAATCAATAAGAGGTTGTGAGCAGTTTTAGGAAACGTTGTGAGCTCTATTGATGATAAAAGCTATGAAGAAATTCTAATCTCTAGGCCTACATATATATATAGTGTATATATACGTGTGTATGTATATATACATGTGCATGTGTGGATTCCTGCCAACATACGCTTTCACTTCACAGTAAACATGTAATGGCTCACCCTTCTTTCATTGAGAGAGGAGTAGTCTCAGTTACTACAGGACAGAATCATGCATGTAAACAATTACTGTGGATTATCTGATGTAACATAAATCCACTGCCTTTGGGCTTGAAAGTGACATACCCTGACTTCCTACCTTGTATGCTGTTTGCTTGTTTAACACAAAATAAAACAAAATAAAATGTGAGCAATGAACAGAACCTGTGTCTGATGAGTCTCATACTTGCTGCTGTGGTTGTAAGGTCCCCTTTGTGCTAAAGTAAGCTCTTGTCTGGATATTTTGCACTGCAGGGGAGGGCTTGCACTGAAAAAATTAGCTGTTACAGATGATTATTTCTAAAGATAGTCACAATATTAAACTTTTACTGGTACTTTTGGGACCCAAATAGAGCCCGTCCCTTAAACATAATGGTTTTAGTTTCAAAAGCATGTCCTAGTATTGTCAAGTTCCTGTTGTACATTTAATTGTCAATGGTGTTTCTCCTAGGGGATAGCACTTTAAAAACAGCTGATACATCTCAATTGGCCTTTAAGTATTTTAATTCAGTAACAGTCATCAGAGGGTTGCAAATGACACTGCAGTAGCGTTCCTGTATTTTTTGGAGTACGATAAAAATCCCTGAGGAGTTTAGCTTGTATGTCATATTGTAAAATAAAATGATGGGGTTTCTTCATCTAAGCAACTTATTTTTAACTGAAACTCTTGAGTCTCTTTTCGTTTTTGTTTATGTAAAAGGGAGAGTAGAATATTGCATTCATCTTAGTAGGATTATGCTGTGCAAAGCAGATGTTAAGCTCCTGTAACACACAAAGGGGGCTTTATGTTCTTTCACATCTGTCTCTGCATAAACAGCTCTGTTAACTCTTTAGGGCTCATGTACAGAGCTACTTGCTTCTGTAGCAAGACTGCCTCAGGAAGGACTGATGGGGTCCCAATTTCAGGGAAAATACCTCGAGAACCCAACTGAAGACAAAAATACTGCCCTCTGACCATCTGAGCTGCCAAAGGAAAGAACATCCTTGTCTGCAGAGGTCCAAAGAGAAAGCTTGGGAAGGTCGTTATGTTTTACTGCCTTGCAGCTTATACAAATAGTGCAACAGTAAGTTGAAACCGTTTTCTTAAAGCCCATGTTGTAAAGCTGCTTGGCATTTCATCTCATAGGCAGTTCTTGTGAGGCTCTTTGCACTAGAGAGGTCTTTGAACTCTTGCATCTCTGTGCCAAAAATCCATTAATGAAACTTCTTCATACCAAATGGATACACATATTTTCTTTTTTGTAGAAACTGAGAAGTATCACTTTGTCAGTAGAAACAGTGCAGTATGATCTATTGTACTTTTCCTACTAAGATACCACCTCTAGCTTAAATTTAAAAGCTCTTTTCAACCTTTTAGTCTCTAATGAAGTGTTGTCCCTTTTTTGGTCCTAATTCATCTTGGCAGTAGAATGTGAATGCTTAGAAATGTCTTTCATTGATTGCATGTGAACTACCAGTTACTGTGGGCTGTGTTAAGTCACCCTTTTATGTACTGCATCTTAAATCTGGTAACTAAACTATCTGTGCTGTGTATTTGGTGCAGTGTTGTGTAATGGCTTTACTAGGGCCGGAAGGGTGGAGAAAGAGTATGGTGGTGCTGAGGGTTGGCCTTGAATACTTGGAGAATCTCAGCACAGAATGAAGCATGGCCATCTGCAAAAGTTTGTCCTGAATGAGCAGTACAGGCTTGAAAGGTGACATCTGACCATGCTAGTATCCGTAGAAGGGTTTTGCTACTGATTTCGGTAGGAATAGGCTTCCATCCTTCCTGGGTTCCACGAAATTGGTGCTTAGCTACATAAAAATTTGCACCAGTTGAATTCAATCAGTTTAGTTTCACTATAGTGAGCGTTTGTAGTGACACTGGCATTTTTTTGTCTGGTGCATGCCACCTGCCCATGGCTGATACAAGTGTGAATAAAAAAGTCACTCTTGTACTGGAGTATGTATTCTAATGAATTTAAATTCGCACTCAGGACTACTTCATATGCACACAAAAGACAAGCTTCTACTAATGAGAGAGAATAGTTTAGCTTCCTTCTTTATGTCATTTAACATTGTGCAGCCCACCACAGCAGAGCAATTGATCGGTACTTTATATCAGAAATGTAACCCTAAGCTTTCCTCCATTGCCTTGTCGTGGTGTACTGGCCTCTCCTGCAGGACCTCTGGACCCCACAGCGGTGGCATGTCCGCTCTGGTTGGTTTCTCAAAAGGTCTGCACTGAAAGGGAGCTTAGCTTTGCTGCAGGCAGCTCCTGCTCATCTAGGAGGGAGCTCAGAGCTGTCGGGTAGCATTACTTGGCAGCTAGATTGGATGCACTATGGGTTTAATTTATGATTTATCTAGGAGTAATCTATTTCTGTAATAGTTCAGTGCTGTACTGGAGAGCTGAGACTGCCTGGGGCTTGGTGGGGGGTAAGATTGTTCACCTTCAGTGGGTGATGTATTGCTGTCTAATGGGATGTGATTGTATACGGGTAAGAAGCTGAAGGAAAATTTGCTGTCAGGATGATGTTGCATTTAAGCCTCCTTTTGGTATCAGAGGAGCCCTGTAAATTATTACAGATCTTAAATCCAGTAGAAATACTTCTACAGATTTTTAGTTATGTTGAAAATAGTTCTTAGTCTGGATTTAAATGTTCCCCTGAAATTTTGAAGACCAGGGGTTATTGGAGAATAACCCTAATCCACAAAACTCAGAAGGTAAAATGAACTACTGCAGTCTTGCTACTCAAAATGAACAAAATGTAAATAGTCAAAGGTAGTGCAAGAAGGAAATCTAGATCTTAAAATGAGTTCTTCTGTGAATCACAGAGGGTTGTTTTTTTTTAAACATGTCAAATTACGAATCATCTTTAACTGCTGAGAAATTTATGGTGGAAAATAATCTGGTATTTTGCTGCATAAACTAGTATCAGCATTCTTGTACACTGCAAAATCTCTGGTGTCCTCACAGACTTGTTTCTGTGTGGTACACAGTGAAATTCCACTTGTCTGAATCATTTGAGTAAGATTTTTCAGAAAAGTTTTATCCTTCTCAGTTTTAAGTCCACTTATAGTGACTAAATGTTTAAACAGAGGCAAGCTGAATGAATGTGCTCTTTGATAAAAGATAACAAAGCCCGTAACTGAGAAGCTTTGCTGCTCTTTGGGCAAGCATGGTTGATTTAACTCTGTACATGTTTATGGATCCCCAAACTAACTGTACTTATACTTGAGTCATGCTAAACAAATAAAACTTTGCATCTCAGGAGCCTGGCATGTGTTTCAAGAGGCTGGCATGCATTTTCTTTACATGATTGCAGGAGAGTGGCTTGCTTAACCTTTTAATTGGCAGGAAGAAAACTCACTTCATGGCCTGAGCCACAATCATCTCTGAATAATGTAAACAGTAATGACCTGAACTTGATCTTTTAGACAAGGGACCCGCTTTTCTTGGTAGTTGCATTATACAGACAAGCTAATGTTCTGGGGTCAGCGAGGGGCTTTTGTACATCCAAGGACAATAAAGCTAGAAAGTGTTTCCTGCTGTTTAGCTAATTAATGTAGGGTACCACTCTGTAGGAGTCGGCAGTGGTTTTGCTGCCTGTCACTGCTATTGTACTGCCTGCAGAAGGATACAGAGCAAGGCATGTGGTAAGGGAATGAATTCTCTGTCTTGCTCCACCTATTGCAGGACAGAAAAAAACTTAGGGAAGTCTGCTATTGATTCATTGGGTGAGAAGGGAAAAGATGTGGTGCTGGAATGGTCAAAGCATTGTTTTTTTTACAACTCAGAGTTGTAAATAACAAAAATAAATTGATAGTACCCTGCGTGTGATGTGATGCTGCCAGACCAGAATTATCTGTGTGTGTCTTTAAATTGCCCTCCCTCCTGACACGGGAGGGCACATCTGAAAGGAACAGATTGACAGCTTTTCCCTATTAGAGTTTTCCCTTAAATCCTGTTTTATGATGTACTGTAGAATAAAGAATTTTGAGACTTTAAAAGCACATATAACTTTATCACATCTTGTACTTTCTGATTAAAATCTACTGCAAAGCTGTGAGTTCCTTTTCAATAGTTAATGTAGCAAAATATACAAAGGCATTTAGAGTCTGCTCTGATCTTGCATTCTGGTCAGGTACAGGCAAATCGTAAAGAGAAAATTTAAGGTGTCATAGTGAACAGCGTGTATTGCATACTTGAGCAGTAAGGGAGCTAAATCATCTTAATTCTTGCTAGAACCTAGCTGGGTACATGCTGCCTGTGGCTGCCTGCTTTCTCAGCAAGTTTTTAAGTGGATTATTAACTAAGTGTAAGGCTGTTTGCAGCATCTTAAGTTTGACAGACATGTGATTGTGCAGGGGGGTAGGTAGGGGAAAAGGGTCGTTGCTTTCAAACAAAAGCTTCTCATAGATTAATGTCTTCCAAACAATAACTTGTAGTCTTGTTCCAGATTAAAAATAAAACAAATGGTATATGGGTTTCATGCCCAGACAATAACTCTTCCGGGTTTTTTTTGTGTGTTTTTTGTTTTTTTTTTTCCCCAGAACTGCTTAATAAAACATGATGAGAATGGATACTCAGCAATAGTGGGAGACTTTGGTTTAGCAGAGAAAATTCCTGATCACAGGTAAGTGAACTAATCAACATACAGCAACAGTTGGCAGTGCAATTGTAGGTCAGAAGCTCTAATGAGCTGGGTCCCTGAGGCCATTATTGCATTCTGATACAAAATTTGCAAAAAAATATCCTCAGTCTTCATTCTAGAACGGTAGGCTACATGACCAAAATGTTCCAGCCTTAATTACTGTCCATTTTGATAGATTTAGTGGTGACATTTAGTCTTCAAAAATGCTCCAGTGAGTAGGGGATTTACTCAAGCTTTTCAGTAGGTCTTCTAAGCAGGTACTTGGGAATTTTGGTTTAAAAAAAAAAAAAACACAACAAAGCAAACACAAAAATACTGTCTGGCATTCTGGATTGGGATGATTTTGTAATAAATGTCCTCTGTTGATTCCAAACAAGTTTAATTAGCTCCTTTCCATTTTCATAAACAATATTCAGTGGCATTCCAGTATTATTCTCTTTAACCTCTGGGTTAGTTGGTAAGATCCAGGTTTATAACAGAGATACTAAAATTACTGTCTAACAGTAGTTCACCATTTTGCTCTCCCTAGGATGAAATTATAATCTTAACTGATTTGAGCAATGCACAGGTGACTGTCAACAAGCTATTGTCACAATTGGAAATAGTCCTTTTGTCATTCCTCCATTAGGGAGATCAAGGACAAGAATTTCGTTGTGCTCTCTATATTGACTTGTGTGTTTCAGATTATTCTGACTGTGAAATGTGCTGTCAGATTTTCTCCAGTGCATGCTTCTGCATAAAAGAAATAAAAGCCTTCCAGCTCTTTTGACTGCAAAGAAAACAATGAAAGTTGAACTCAGCTATGCACTGGTTTTAAACTGCATATATCCTAAAACCATATCTTGGGAGGTCTGAAGGCTTGCATTAATGTTGATGAAATGCTGATCTAAAAGCTTAACAAAGTGAACATCTTAATTTCCAAACTACTGATAAGTACAGCCAATGTGTATCTTGTATGTTCCTGTAGAATCTCTGCCCTTTAAGGTGCTGAAAGCTTCAGCTGTATTCATAGGAACCCATCACAAAATCAGGAAGGTGCCACAGGTGCCTTAAGGTGTGCTTAATACCCAGTTTTGAGATGCCCTGAAACCTGAGAGTATAGCTAAAGTTAAGGTAGCTTGATACTAAAACAAACAATATAATAAAATTATTACATTAGCCACCATTTTGGTTTGATCTAGTCTTACCTCCATTTTCAAATGTAGTTTTGTTGTTTCCAGTTTGCTGACTAGCAAGCCATGCTATTTTGAGGCCTTCAGAGGCCTGGTTTTTTTTTTAATAGGTGTTCCTTTAAGGTCAGCTGGGTGGCAAGCTGGAGGCCTTTCTTAAAGCCCTAGTATTCAGCCATATGGAAACATTGCAATTTTTTCAAATCTGCTCTATCCTGATTACTTTTAATTTTTCCCTATTAAAGGATTCATCTGGTCAATCTTGACTTTTTTTAAAAGTACAATTTGCAAGCACGCTGTGCTGAATACTTTCAGAGTTGCTTATTGGTATATACACACGGATGGATACCTGTATGTCTTGCTGCAGGGATGGAGAACTTGACATCTAGCCCAAAACTGATGTCCACAAACCTTTCTATGTATAGATGAAGGAGCCAACTCTGCCAAGAGTTTGGAAACCAAAATTATTGAATAGCTGTGACCTTACATTTTTTTTTTTTAAAGTGGCCAGGCACTTAGAAAATGCAAATAAAATACGACTAATTGATCGAAGCTTTCTTTTTCTTTCACCTTCTCCTCCTGCTGTTGAACGTTCCAGTGACTCCAGTAGGAAACCAGTGTAAAATACAGTATGTTATGGAACCCAGTTGTATTGACTTCCCTCTGGTGAAAGTTTCTGCAGATACTTGGAGTTGTGGAAAGTTAGTAGCAATGCTTGAGCATTTAATTAATGGTTCTTCTCTCTCTCCCCCCACCCCCCTCCCTCCTTTGCCCCCATCTATCCCGTATCTATATAGTGAGAAGTTACCGGTGGTGGGCTCACCCTTCTGGATGGCACCAGAAGTTCTTAGAGATGAGCCTTACAATGAAAAGGTAGGTACCTCATGTAAATGGACTTCAGTCGTCAGATGTTTCTCTTCAATAGCTGTATACAAGATTTAGAATTTCCATAACATTAAAATTATTGTTATTTTCATTTGTGGTATTTCTGTACTCAGTAGGTTGTTCAGATTAAGGGAGAGTGTGAGTTGAATAACTAATATTTTTTAATTCATGGTGTGGAGTCTTATACGGAAATAGAATTACCTTTAGCATAATTCACTGTCACGCTGTTTCCATTCTGAAACACCCCACATGCAGAAATATGGTAATGGCTTGTTGACCTAACACAATGTAATTTAACCAAGTCTCATGAGAAATATAGTGAGGTTGCTTCCCTGACAATACATTAGTGAGATCCAGGTAGAAGTAAAAGGTCTGTATGTAAACTTGTACAATTATTTTAATTTAAAAAAAATAAATTAAAAATCAACATTTCTCAAGGTAAGATAACTGCATAAAAATGTTCTCCAAAGGTATTTCTAAATTTTCCTATTTGTGGCATTGTGAAATGTCTCTTTCAGAGGAGGATCAGATCACACTGGATTTTAGAAATAGTATTTTCAATCAAGCTGTTCTTTACACGTGATTTCTCTCCCATGTGTAACATAGTCTACTTCAGCCTTGCAAGTGCAGCTTTTCTGTGATAAAGCCCACATCCTGCACCATTCTATAGCTAGTAGTCAATAATCTGTTTGATTGGTGGTACTTTTAACTTGGAGGAAAGCAGTAGCTACCTCAGTAATTAATGTAATAATTACCATTTCAAAGCTTTTTTAAGAGTTCCAATTGACCTAAATTAATAATAAAGTACCCAAATCCATGGTGCCACATTCTTCACTAACCCTATGGCATAGAGGACTAAAGAGGAAGCACGTCTCATACCTCGTCAGCATGAAAGGTGGCATATAAGCCTGCCTGATGTGTAAGGGATGAGGGATGCTGGCTTCTGCTCTGTAGACTTGTATTCCATGTTTTCCTAAATTTTATTACATGATAAATTCAGGTGGTTGTAACTCTCAGGAACTGTGCAGCTCCAGGGGTAGTCAGATAAGTGATCGCTAAGTGTCACAGTAATCTCGGTGGAAATTGATGCTCATATTCGGTGTTACTAGGTAAGACACTGTTTTCTCCAGAGGTACTGAACTGTGAGAAGAAAAAAATGTAATTTTTCTTAAATACAGCATTAATGTTCTGGATAGGCTGTGATCATGTGTATTCTAAACCCATCTTTCTAACCACAGTGATATATAGGCATGTCATGTTTTGGCTATGTTTTTAATTACTCCCATCTGTAAGACATCAAATGCAACTTCACTGTTCTTTATGCAAGGAAGGATTTTTTTAATTTTTTTTTTTTTTACACTGCTGAATTGAATGGTTTGGTGGGTTTTTTCTTTTTTTCTTGAAAGAGTTTTAAAGTTATTGCTATTTGTGCAACAAAAATGCTTTACTGTGAGCATGTGTTTCTTCACATGGAAAACGTTAGCTATAACGCAGTTGCTTACTGTTGTAAGGCTGTGGTGTTGGTTTAGTTGTTTCACGATAACCATTTGCGGTAAGGAGAAACTCGGTGACAGATAACGCTGAGTATTCATAGCTGAACCATGTGGCTATTTATTTTTTTTTTCTCTCTCAGGCAGACGTGTTCTCCTATGGTATAATTCTGTGTGAGATTATAGCACGAATACAGGCAGATCCAGACTATCTCCCTCGCACAGAGGTAAGTGGTTACGTTTATAACATTGGTGGGAGGTGGTAAGTATGCCATGATAATGGCTGGCCTTTAGAACTTCTGGCACTGCTGCCAAAGATACGATGAATAGGTGTTGCATTAAAAATAGCCTGTAAAAGGCTTTTGTTCTTCTGTGCTGTTATTGTAAGAAGCTCCATCGAAGACACTTTCACAGAGACTTTGTCTAGCTGTCTAGTCCTCATGGGAAATCCTTTCTGGCCCTAACTGGCAGAACATTGAGAGCATTGCAGTGACCTTCCTTTTGGAGAGTGATAGCTCATGTAGACTTCTTGCCAGAGTCAGAACAGAGCACTTTTGGCACACTGCAACCACTAAGCAGCCCCTCCTTGTGAAAGGGGCAGGAGCTATGTTAGCAGCAGCTAAAATAAGCTCACCCTTATTTTTGCATAGATGGTGCTGAGCATTGTGGTTCTGAGCTAGAATCGACTAATGAAACGAGATACTCCTTACTTTCTTCAGTTGCCTTTTGGTTGAGTCCCATCTGCAGGGCAGCTTTTGGCCCTCTGTGGGGAGGTCTTCCAAATTGTCTATCCCCCTCCGGTTCTGAAAATGCAAAATTGCTTAGGTCTTGAACTGCAGTAAATAAGAGATCCTTTTGTTTATCTGCCCTTCAGATTTTATAGAAGTGCATTTAAAGAACTGGATAATTTGTATTAGCAGTCTACCATCCACTGAAAAATTAACCATTTTAATTGATAAATTTTTATCATAGCAAAGCCTCCGGTTTTATAGCAGGCTATTAATTTACACTGTGAAAATCACCATGGTGAAACATCATAGTATAAGATATTGCTTCCAGATCCACAAGGGCAACATTTCTAGTGCAATAGATTGCAGTTGAGTCCAGGAAGAAGCATGGGCTTTGAAGTCGGCTCATTCTTTTACAGGTATCTTGTATCAAGTAATCCCCATTGGGACTGCTGCAGTTCAAAGCGTGCATGAAGTTTTTTCACTCAGAATCCTCTGTATGTGGCTGCTGAGCGATGGTGTTCATGGTTATTCCTGATAACTCCATGTAGGGACCTCCTGAAAATAAGATGCTTTGGGCCAGATAGCAGACCTCATTTATATCTCTGTGCTGTGTTTTTGTTTGTACAGAATTTTGGATTAGATTATGATGCCTTCCAGCACATGGTGGGAGACTGTCCCCCTGACTTCCTCCAGCTGGCCTTCAACTGCTGTAATGTGAGTATCTTACTGGAAGGGGAGAGGACTAAACTGGAGTTCTCTAAATCCCTCTGGCTTTTGAAGATAGAGCTTAAAGCATTTACAGAAGAGACTTGAAGAACCTACCTATAAAATCAGCGTACATTCTGATAACACAGAAAGTCCCTTGCAGTTTTTATAACCCTTCCCTCCCCCTTGCAAAAAAGTCTATCTTGTGTTTTTGCAATTCTGCGTTCTGTCATGCCAAACAAACAGGTCTGGCGCACTGAACAGCTTCTTGCAGGCTGCTCAGGCTGATCATAACCAGTTGTATGCTATTGACACTGGCTGGCCCTCGGGCTGACAAAATCCAGCTGTTATTGTGTACAGACCTACTGAGCTGTGAAAAAAGAATTCTCAGTTGTTCTCACAAACAGAGGGGGCAAACAAATCAAGAGCAGGCACTAAACTACTCTAAAGTTTCTATATGCTGCCTTTTGGAGAGTGGATAAACCTCCAAATCGCTAGCCTGCGTTCCAAAAAACCAAACTTGGAGCCAAATGATATAATATCAGTAAGGCTATAGGCAGTGCACTGTATGGAGTAAATTTTCTGCCAATTATTAAAGCAAAAGTGTGATAGTTTGTGCTACCTTCATGGCTCCTCAGTGTGAAAATTCCAAGGAAGTAGATCTCTTTTGTGGGTTATCCCATAACAGAGGTTGCTAGTACCTTTGTGTACTAAACTGTTTTATATGAAGTAAGAGAACCTGAGTTTCCACCAGATTCAGCTGAAGTTGGGAATGTCCAGTTTGCACAACTTAAGTTGAGGCAACTCCTAAAAATTTTACTGCACAGAACTTTGCCTGGGACTCCACAACCAGGCCATGCTGGAGCCAATACCAGCACTGTGCCCAAGTGAGTGTTTGTAAGAAAGGTCTCATCTCTCCAGGCTTTTGATGCTTATTTTTGTCCTGAGCGCTCTCTCTTTACTTTGTATTAGTACAAATGCACATGCTCAAGGGGAGAGCAGTATAAAGGTGAGGATGTGAGCAGGTGGGGGTGACTTCTGCTCTTGACACAAGATAGCATAATTTAATTCTAAAAATGTTTGTGGAACTTACTCTGGACAAGCTACTTCACTCCTCTGATTTCACCTTAGTACAGTGGAGCTTGCTGCACCAGGACAGGGGTACATCTGACTCATGCTTATGAAGTGCTTCGACTACATAAGCACTAAAGAGTTTGGCTAGAGGTAGGATTTGACTTTGGAAATCTCAGCTCCCACCTGTAGACTCCAGAAATCATACTGCATCCAAACACATGGTGCATGACTCAAAGCAATTTTTCAGCCCAGGTGAAATTCGGAGTAAAACTACTCATGAGGAAAGGGGAAGTGACTGATCTTACACTCTCATGTAAGAATTTGGTGTGTTTGGAGAAAAAGGATTTTCACTACTGATTATCATCAAATGCTGCTTCCTGTCTAATAAATGTCCCATCCCTGAATTGAAAGTGCAAATTACCGGCTTGTGATCAAGCCATTAATAAGCTGATTTCAGTGTGGAGCATGCTGTAATTCACTTACTACTTACCTAGTAGAAGGAAAAAGGTGGTGAACAGTTAAGGCTTTCTTGTATCTTCCTAAGCATGCTGTGCTTCAGTAATAGGTGATCTGTGTGATAATTTGCTCTTAGACATGGACTTTTATATAGCTTATTATTTAATAGGTCAACAAACAGCGTAAACTGTATAGCTCAGCTGATTAGCTGAGCTACTGTGCAAAGCCCTGGGGTTTTCTACAGCCAGGAAACATGTTTTAGGGCAACCTAAGAAAACCAGTAAAAACTGACATGTATGAGTAGTGGATTAAAATTTCTTTAATTTCCTGTTATAGAGGGGGGGTTTTTTTGTTGGTTTTTTTTTTTTTTTAAAGAAGTGCATGCAAGGAAGTCTAAAACTTTAAGGCTTCCCAACAACTATAAGCCTACTTGTGTGAATACTTAAAACATAATCGTGAACGATCATGCAAAAAGCTTACCAGCACGAGCTGAACTGTGGGCAACTGCTGCCTTGAGGAAGACCCTTCTGTTCCATTTGAGCAGAATCTGGACTGCTCGGAGATGGAAGAGGCAAATGTTGCTCGCAGTCACTTTTCCATTGCTGCTTTTGCACTGGATCTTACCTAGCACAAATCAAAATAGCCAGAGAGCTCTTCTTACTTTCTGTAGCTTGCAACAGCTCCCTAAGCTTCCCAAATTAGTAACTTTGTCAGAGTACAGAGTGTGCGCTTTGCTGTTACCCCTGCCCTACTCTTTCAGTGAATAGGGAGAGCAGAAAAAGATGTTTTCCTATGCCAGGAAATTCCAGCTGCTGCATTAGAACAACTTTCTTGCTGCTCTTGAACTCTTCAAGTGTGATTTGTTTGTTTGTTTTTTGTTACTGTACGTATGAATTTTTAGCCCTTTACCCTGTGTTGCTAGAAGGTGTTCTGGCATTGCTGGTCATACCAGTTCTCTTGAGAAAGATACATCTTGTAGGACCTGCAAGGCAGTATCAGGGAGGTCTTTGGGTTTTTTGTTTACAAAGCACCACTGTTCCCTTTGTACTAGAGGTAAGATCTGTCTGGGCTTGTCTGCTCTGAAAAAGCCTTTAGAGGGCTGGAAACAGGATCTGGTCAAGCGGAATCTTTTTTAATAGTGTAGTGAGGTTAACTTTCAGCTGCTGAATTAGACATTGCTACCTACAGTAGTTAAGCCTGTAACATATATACAGGGTTAATGTTCAAAATGATGAAATGCCTTCTGAGTTACTACTTAAATTAAGCTGCTTGCCCTCTAGTACAGTCTTAGTGTTGGACTTTGTTTAGAGATCCATTTCTACTAGGGTGAATAAATACATACATACTGATGACTGCGGGACAGTATTTTACTTGGGCAAAGATGGATTTTTTTCTTATTGTATTACTTTGTCAAATTATATAACCGATCTTGCTTCCTCACAAGGCAGACCAGTACACCAAGTAGTAAGGCTAATTAACAGATGGAAAGATACAACATTTGAAACTTTCAAATCAGCAATGGCATTTAGGTGGGTTTTAATTAAAGCCACAAGGAGATGATGGAAGAATTACAAACTTTTAAATAATGACATAGCCAAGTTGCTCTGTTTAATCCTTATTGCTTCAGGCACATTTTGAAATAACGTTGATATATAATTTCTGATAACTGGAGTCCAGAAAGAAATCCTTGAACTATGAAACCTCTTTAAAACAAACAAAGAAAACCCTCTCTGAAGCCCTGAATCTAACAGCTTCCCACCTTTTCAATTTAAAATGCGTCCTCATCATAGAACGTTTACAACTTGATAATTAAATGTGAGAGGTATAATGTACATAAACTGGGACAGAATACTACTTTTCCCCCGCTTTACTTAAGTTTTTTGCAATGACAACACACTTCTTAAAACAGTCTTGAATTTTCTCAGGTCCTTCAGATTGTTCCTCTGTCTGTCCACTGTGTAAGTAGAATAGCATGGACAAACCCACATGAACCTATTTGATTTGCGTGCATTCACAGATGGATCCAAAGTTGCGTCCTTCATTTGCTGATATTGTCAAAACACTGGAGGAGATTTTAAACCGCCTGAGAAATGAGGACTCTGAGAGAGAGAGAAAGTTTTTGAACCTTGACAACAGTGAAAGAAAACCCAAGGGTAAGTGTTTGTATTGTACAAACATTGCTGCATGCTAACAGCAAGAGGGTACAATGCTTCATATTTTGAAGACTGGGATTTCAGCTATATATGGTGTGTATATATATATTTACAGCTTATGAATGATTTGACTCAAAGCCTGAAAATGATTCTGGAACAATGCTATATATTTTGCACTGAAGAGTGTCCTTTGGGAAAGAACAGCTAACTGTTTCTTAAAGTGCCTCAAAAGATTCTGCCCACAAGCTCTTGAGGGGAAATTTAGAGTTCAATTGGGAATAGTTTTGTAAGTTGCTAATAGTATATGAAAATCTATCAACTCTTGCTTTGTCCCTGCCACACTTTGTGCATATACATAACTTCTTTGGTATATGTTACACATAACACTTAGAAGGTCCTTAAATTCCTTCAGAAGGAAGAGCAGAGAAGATGCAAGAGTGTTATAAAGTACCTAGAAATACTCTGAAAGACTGGGGAAAAGACGAATCCCAGTTCTGCTTGGGAATGCTGGCTTTTGAAGGGCTTTCTCTAAGGCCGTCTAGTGCCACCTGGTGTGGGGAGCAAACTGCAAGCAGTTCTTGTAGGCTGGGGCATATTCCAATTAGGTATCTTCTATGTTAGTAGACTTCTGGCATCAGAAACTTAGAGTACAGTAAAAATACTTTCTCATATTGTGTATATATAAATACACAATAAATATACATCTGTGTCTGCAATATCATTATAGATTGAAGTAAGTTCTGTATTGCAAACCACATGGAGTGCATGCATGTGGTAGTTCTCCCACACCTGGAAAGCATCTAAAAGAGGTGCAAGTTAAAAAGGAAAATTTTTTGTTTGTTTGGGGGGTGTGTGTGTGTCGTGTGTGTCCCCCCCCCCCGTTTTCCTGGCATTCTCCCATTCTCTCTTTGGAGTACATGTCAGATTTCCATCTTCTTGGAGAAGTGTTACATGCTGTTCTTTGACCTGCATAGTCTTTCCTAGGTGGAGTGACTACAGTCTAAACTGTGGCAGTGTTTAAAGGGAAAAGTGGAAATCCATATCTGCTTATTCTGGAAATGGTAATCAAAAGGAGATACTACTTCTTTATATGTTTGTTATTACTGTACCACAGCTCCTCAGAGGCACCTTGAGAGCCAGTGGGAGATACATGCTCCAAACACTCAAGGAGTTAGCATTTTTTCCTGAAACAACTACAATTTTCCCATCCTGTTCTAGTGCTACAGCTTTTATTTGTATGTGTGTGTGCACGTATATGTGCGCAAAGAAATAGACACACGCATATGTACAACTTTTTAACTCCTATTCATTAGATTCAAACTCTCATATATCCCTAGTTTCTGTATTGGATAGTGTACTGAATGAAGGCTGGGATGGAAAGATTTAAATTCTTCATGGTATCAGGAGGGGCATTTATTTTGGTCTTAGGCTTTTCCTGTCAGGGTGAAAAAGTCCCAAGATCTTGGGCAACCTCTGCTGGGAAGCCAGGATGATAAATCTAGAAACATGCAAATTGTTCTTCTCCAAGATCACTCTGTGTGTCTCTGCTGTGTCGGTGTACTGGCAGTGAGGAGGTTTGAAGGGGCCCTAAAGTACAGGGTTTGGATAGAATAGGGAAAGACTTCATCATTCCTACCAAATTTTTGTACAGTTTCCTTTCCTTTGTTTTTTCTGAAGACAATATTGTCTTGCCAAATTAGCATCCCCCATAATGTGGGTGGCAAATTTGATCATAAAATGATAAAGAAGCAATCCAGTTTCACTGCCTAGGGAAGTGAGATGGCGTTGACTGAATTCGTACTTCCTCGAGTCTTCAAGATGACTTTTAGCCTGAGGCATGAGTAAAGAGGAGAGAGTATTTTAAATGTAGTTTTGACTGCCTTACATTTAAAAGGTCCTGTGGACACGGCTGCCAAATCTCCACATTTGAAACCAATAATACACTGAGGAGAAGGGAATGGTATGCTTGTGCAGTAACTTGTAAGGAATGAGCAAGCGTGTTTATGGAAGATACTTTGGAACATCAGAAATGGAGCTTTTTCTTTACAGTTGTCGTGAAGGCTCTGTGAGTGAGCAGACATGCAGGCATGTAGCTCCTTTAAGCTAAGAGTGTTTCTTTTCTTCTACTCAGGGTCAATTGAAAAAGGACCAGGAGTAAAACGTTTGAGTTCCCTGGATGATAAGATCCCACCCAAGTCACCCCGTCCACGTCGGAATATCTGGTTGTCACGCAGCCAGTCGGATATCTTCTCCCGCAAGCCTTCCAGGAAGATAAACGTGCAGGACCCCTACTATACACCAAACAAAGGGTTAGGCCGGAAAGTTAATCCCTTCAGTGCCCGGGAGGACCTCAAGGGGGGGAAGATCAAATTCTTTGACATGCCAAGCAAGTCTGTGATCTCCCTTGTGTTTGACTTGCATTCTCCAGAGGCAGGTGGAGGCCTGAAAGCCAGCCAATCCCAGTTCCGGCAGGCGTATAGCACAGACTGGCAAGAATTTTCCCTTCTTCCTGGGAGGAGATGCAGATCACTTCCACTCTCTCCTGAATTGCCACACAAGGAATATGGCCTGTTTGGGGGACTGTCTTCAACTGTCAGCAGGTGTGACCCAACCCAGCTAGGTGCAGAGGTTCGGCAAAAACTCCTGAGTAGCAGTAAATATGGTGTGTCAGAGATTCCCCCCTTTCAAGCCAAGACTCACAGGCCAGAATTTCTTCCTGTACCGGGACAAGAAGAGGATATGGACTGTTCAGATGGGCCAGTGGCCCAGGAGGAAAATGGGTTTTGCCCTGTTGAAAACACATGTGGAGATCCAGCATGTAATCAACCATTAGCACTGGCCCAGCCTGAGCCGCTATCTTACAAAAAGCTCCCAGTTGAGAATTCAGTGAACTCTGAGGGACATGACTCCTCACAAGTGTTTGTGGGTTGTCTCCCTTCTGAAGAGATGGAGGTGGAAGATGACCTACTGAAAAATACTCCGCTAGAGTCTACAAAACCTCTGTTCAGTGTTAGTCCTTCCACTGAGCTGAAGAGAGAGGCATGGCCCTTCAGGGAGCAGGGTGGGGACAGTCCTGCCCTGTTGTCTCAGACCTCCTCCAACATCCCAGCAAGTGGCAGCACGCAGTCAACTTGTGACATATGAAGAGAGGGCTCAAACTGAATGTGTCCTTGAGGGAACACTTGTTCCCAGTCGCTAAAACCCTGTTTTTCTGTAGTGCTGGGCTTCACATTGGAACGAGACTCAGTAGATGGTAGAAAGTGGCTGTCAAACAGATAGCTGCAGACAGCATCTGGAGAGACTGATTATTTTATTTCAAACTTGCTTATTCTCTTCCCTGATTTGCATTAGGAGAGGGAACTACTCCAGCCAGAATGGCCATGTGGGCCCTGCAGTCCTTCCAAGAGGCAGCAGCCAGAGCAGGCACTGGGTAAACAGTGTGACCTGGATTCCAGCATGGAGCATTTCAAGGCCTTAAGCTCCACGTTGGGTAGAAGGAGCAACCCTTAGGTGTTCCCTCTTCCTCTGACTGACCAGCTGCTCTAAACCACTGCAGATTTTGTATTAACATTCTGCAGCAGTGCACATGAGTTGGAGCCTCTGTTTTAGAAATGGGCACAGAGATCTTTCAGAGCTGTGTTGAGCAAATAGGAATGCTCTCTGGTCCCAGAGCTGCTGTTGCAGCATTAAACAAGCTCTTCTTTCAAAAGCAGCAAAAACAAAACCCCTCATGCTGGTCGCAATTGGCAGGCTGAATCACATGACAAGTACTTTGCGATTAACAAGAAGAATCTGTTCCCTGGCGTTTCATTTTCCCTTGGGATTTGGTAATGATGTGTAATATGTTAGTGCAGGAAAGCAGGATGCGGTAAGCACCGCTCTCCTCCTAGCACAGCTCTTCGTGTACCTCAACCCAAATGTGGAGGAAGATTTGCCCAGGGCACAAGAGGAGAGCCATATTCCAGGCATTGTCATTTCTGGGCTTCTGGAGAAACTGCCAGTGAAAGTACCAGTTGTACTGAGCTTTTGCAGGGTGTGGGCTCTTATCTTGGAAGAGCTGAATGGACATCATGATCTGTTTCTCCAGAATAGTTAATTAAATGCAATATCTAGATCACAGTTGACTATTACCACTAAGCTAGAAGTGTCACATTCACCTCCCTCTCTGGTACGACATCCCATCTCACTGATATCACTGCAGTAGTGATGGCTCCTTATTTAAAACCAGACTGCTTGACAGAGGACAGGAATCCCCTGCTCAGGGGACGTTGCCGGCAGTGTTGCAGCCACACAAGTGCTCTTGGAGGAGGATAGACAGTAGACTCACAGAAGGGCTTTGAATTGTCAAACTGAAGAAAATTTGCTTGTTCCAAATTAACTTTTTTTTCTTCTACAGAAAGAAGCTGTTGTCTTCATTGGCTTCTCCTATCACTGAACAGGATGATCTCTTTCTTTTTTTTTCTTTTTTTTTTTTTTTTCCCTCCACCAGCAGGTACATGTGAAAGAAGCAGCAGCATGAGCTTTAATGCTGCTTGCTGGAACCAGCATCAGAGATCCCAGCTCTGGGATGTGATGTACGGGAAAGCTTGTTCTGTGATGACGTTTGTGCGCCATCCTGCCCTTTTCCACTATCATTGTCCCAACAACATGGGATTTTAAAATTTTTTTAAATTTTTTTTTTTTTAACCTATATTATCACTCCTAACTGAGGTATGCATTGCATGCCTGCTAAGCAGATGGTGATGCAGTGGAGACCAGAATTTCACCCAGGTAGCCTGTACACTCTCTTCCTGCTCTCTTGTAAGGATGGAAAATGTAAGCTAGTCTATTATGGAAGCAAGGCTATTCCTGCTCTTTCCTGATGTCAGAGAAAGGGTGAAAGAGAAAGCCTTAGTTCTTTCTTGGCTGAGATGCTTATCTTTCCAGAGGTGTAGGTAACTATTCTGTGAGTTATAATTACCACTTCCTCTTGTGAAATATGTGTTAAGCTGGGCAGCAGTTATCCTTTTGCAGTGGCTGCGAAGAATTAAATGAGAAACCCAGTGTTGCTGAGTTACTTAGCACAGTCCATGCCAGATTAGGCAGCTGTTACCAGTTTGAAAGAGAAAATGCCTATCCTTACCAAGATCACCCCTTTTGGCCCACATCTCTCTGCCTCTTGAAGGTGCTGGTCTGTAGTCTGTCTTGTGTATCCTGCCTGCAGGGCTGGTGTCTGCAGAGTGCAGAGCAGCTTGTATGGCTGGCACTGTGTGTGTGAGGACAGGGAAACAGTCAGCAGAACTCAGTTGCCAGCTAGTTGCCTGCCTGGTGCCTGCTTTTATTTCCTCTTTTTATCTTTTATACAATTGTAATCTTCCGGGATGGAAACCATCAGCACCAGCTTCTGTTGTCACAAGATACATTTAGGTGTGTGACTTCAGACAAACAAGCAATAATAAGGAATAGTTTATTTCTGGATCACCAGGCTGCAAGGAAGCTGTCCAGCATCCTGCAACTGCCTGCAGCCTCATCGGAGAGCACACTCACGCCTCTGGCTGCTCTGTGGCTTGTGTTGGCCCTGGTTGTCAGTGCTGACACCTCATCATGAAGCCTGTTGCCCTCTCTGACACTGACTGCAAAGGCTATGCAGTCAGGCTTGGGGTACCTCTATGGCACCCATACAGTGACCTCATCTGTTTTCTTACACCACTGTCTCTTAAAATGTTTCCCTGCTCTCTTACAAAGCAGCACAGCTAAAATTTTATTTTCTTAAATGTCCACCCTAAGCACAACCAGCTGACATTCATAGGGCACATCTGTCAACTTCTCTAGCTTTTTCTACTTTGGTGGAGATGTCAGAAAGAGAAATGCCAAGGAATAGCAGCTCAGGCCCTTCCTGCATTCGTGGTCTGCATGGGAAAAGAGGCATGTGTATGAAACTGGAGTAAAAGGCCATTTTAAAATAGCAAAGTGGTTGCTAAAACCCAGTGTTTCCAAGGGTCTGGATGCAGCTGGCACTCACTACGTCTCATCCCTTTGGTTGTGTAAAGCTGAATCTAGGTTGCACCTAGTAAATACTCCTAGGTTTTCTGCCTACCTGAGGTTGCTTTTCTACTGGGGGCCATTTTCTGACAGCTACTGATGAACATGAATACGAACATGTGGTCAGCAAACTCTTTGTTTTATAGTGATGTGACAAAGTTTTATTGTGATTGGATTTTATCATGATTTTTGACTTTCTTAAGGGAGCAGTTCTTGCTCTTTTAAAACACTTTCTACACATTGCTAGGTTCCCTGAAGAGATCAAAGATACTTTTAATTCACTTTAAATTTTTCTATGTTGAATTCATTTAAATGTCTGTCATAAGCTATTTTTGTTGAGGTTGCAGGTTGATAAAATGCAACTAAGAGAATGCATGTGAATTGCTGCCCCTCAAAAGCAGTGCAGACAAGGGGCTGTAGTAAACTTACACTTGTTGGAGAGGCATTGATGTATTATGTGTAACAGAACATTGGTATTTTTTGCCAGTACAACTAAAGACACTTGAATAATTCCTGTTTGCACTTAATGCTATTGTTTATATTGCATGTCACTACATTTCTATGCAAAACAAATAACCTTGTTTTGGGGAGGAGAGGCAGCCAGATATTTGATTAAGTATAAAGATCTTTGCGAGATGATCTATTTTCGTATTTATGAAGGAGTTCTACGTCTTAATATTTTGCGGTCTGTAAATAGCTTAACTTGTAATTAAAGGCTTAGGAAGAAGTTTGTAGCCTGTGTATAATAGTAAGTTAACACTGCCAGAAAAAAAAAATCTTTGCAAAACATCTTTTCTAATATTGTGGATATTTATGAATATGTAAAGAAAGCACGTCTTGGTTTTATGTTGATTGACCTTCTGACTTTTTTTGAACTATAGAAATGGTATATGTTTTATTGGAACTGCAATAAGAAGTAACCAAAGATGAATCCAGTTAAATATTTTCATAATTTTTTCTTGGTCAGGTTTTGTAAACTTTCCCAACTTGCTTTCAAAATAAAAATAAAATCAAGGCCTGAGTCTTGTGATTAAGAGGGCAACTCTAGGTTAAAAAAGCTGGCTCAAATGCTTACTTAAGCTATGGGTGACCCACCTGGCTTGAGATCGTATTCACTATTACTTGGTGCTGAATTATAAATGGGGAGAACTGTCATCCTTATTCAGTGTTATTTCGTTCCTGCATCTTACTGAAGTGTTACACTATTAAATCCATGAGACTCAAGGACCTTTTCTGCTCTGCTTTATAGCGCTCTGAAGACTAGGCAGTAGCTTGTGACCTACAAGACAAGATGGCTTTTGATAGCACTCAGCCTGCAGGGAGCTTGCCATTGTGACTGCTCTGCTCTAGTCCTACAGAATAGCTTCAGTAGCACAGGAAGCAGTGCGGTTTAAGAGGGCCACATCTGGCTTTAAGGCCCACTGCATCTCCCCTTAGAAATTTGAAGACCTGCTGCAGCTTGATTCTGCACACAGTTACCCTGCACTAGAACCAGCTGGCCCATTTGGGAGGAGGAGCTTTCTCCTTCCCCTCTCTCCTATAGGAGCAAAGGTCTTGTCCATGTATGCTGTAAGGTAAAGTACAAATATGAAGTGGGATAGCTCTCCCAGGTGCATATTCTAAACCAACCATGGCCAGTGTCTCTTTTTTTTTTTTTTTTTAAAACAAAACAACACAACAAAAAAGCCCCCAAACCACAACACTTTTTTCCTTCTTGACTTCCTTAGAAAGTCAGGAAATAATTATGAGGGTTATAGGGAATTACCCTACCAGCAGTGACTGGAAGCAGTAACACTTGATTA